TGCATCCAACGTGATACCTTTTGGCTTGCTGTACATGAGATCCTTGCAGTGGGGGCTCAGGACCAAGGGGTTTTCCCAGAGGGGGAACCCGCTTCGCACGATCAAGGTCATGCGGCGATGCTTACGTACCTTGGACATGTGGAAGAAACTTTGGTTCCTGTCTCAAGGCCTGATGTTGGGGGCTCCTTGTTGTCACGTAATGCTAACGACGGATGCCTCCCTCAAGGGCAGGGAAGCGATCATGAGTGGCCGCTCTGCCCAGGGTCTTTGTGAAGGCCATCATCTCACGTGGCACATAAATTGCATAAAGATGCTGGCTGTGTTTCGAGCTCTAAAACATTTCCTTCCAGACCTAAGGGGACATCATGTGCTTGTCCACACACAACACATCGGTGGTCTCCTACATCAACCGACGGGGGTCTGCGTTCGCGCCCCTTTACAGGCTGGCGCACCAGATCCTTCAGGGAAAGCTCCTCTCACTCAGAGCAGTTTACATCCCTAGGTACCTCAATCAGGGATCAGACATCCTGTCGAGACAGGGGCTAAGGCCCGGGGAATGGAGACTCCACCCAGAGGTGATGGAGCTCCTCTGGAGTGAGTTCGGCCAGGCAGAAGTGGATCTATTCGCGTCTCAGGATACGACACACTGTCCACTCTGGTTCTTCCTCACGCACCCAGCTCCGCTTGGGCTGGATCGTATGGTACAGACGAGGCTTCGTCTGTATGCTTTTCCCCTGATCGTTCTGCTCCCGAGAGTTCTGGAGAGAGTACGCCGGGACAGGGTCCGTCTCCTGCTAGTAGCCCCATTCTGGCCGGCCTGAGTATGGTTCTCAAACCTGGTGTCCCTCCTTGATGGCTCTCTGCTGGAGATTCCGATCAGGAGGGACCTCCTCTCTCAGGTGGGGGGCACCATCCTTCACCCCCGCCCAGAGTTATCGAAGCTGTGGGCGTGGCACCTGAGGGGGCACGACTCCTAGCATCCGGTCTCTCAACTGAGGTTGTTGATAACATACTCCAGTTCAGAGCTCCCGCCACGAGGAAACTGTAGGCCTTGAAGGGGAAACTTTTCAATTCTTGGTGCGGACAGCGAATGCAAGACCCAGTCAAATGCCCAGTTGGTGCAGTTCTGGAGTTTCTGCAGGAGCGCTTCTCCACGGGGTTAACTCCCTCCACTCCGAAGGTTTACATGGCAGACACAGCTGCTTACCACGCCCTTCTAGGTGGTCAGTCATTGGGAAGACACCCGTTAGTTATATTTTTTCCCCGTGGTACCCGGAGGCTGAGGCCGGTACAGCACACCAAGGTGCCCTCTTGGAACTTGCCGGTGGTTCTGGAGGCTTTGTGCAATGCTCTTTCGACCCCATTGAATATATCCCTGACAAGCTGATGAGGATAGGGGATCTTCAGGCACTCGCAGTGTTGTGCCTGGAGTTTCCCCCGGGCATGGTTAGGGTGTTCCTTTACCCGAGACGGGTATGTCCCTAAGGTGCCCACTTCCCTGCCAGGTCCTGTAGTACTGCAAGTCTTTTGTCATTCTCCCTTCCAGGAAGCAGGCCAGGAAAATCTCAATCATCATCCGTGACGGCAGTAAATAAATATTTAAGAACAGTTAATTTATTTAAAACTACAAAAAATGAGATGACAACGGAACAGGAGAAGATGGCACTCTTTCAATCTCCACAAGGACTTGTACTATGGCAGAACAATATTGTTTGTCGCGGACAATTTAGAGATATATAATGCTATGTTGTAAAATAAATAATAAGACACTTGGTCTTTGCTCTGTTTTTTTTTTTTTTTTTTTTTTATAATAA